AGCCCGGCCTCTCCTGCTGTGGGCCGGGAAGGGGACAGTGCCGGGCCAGAGGAGCTGTGCCCCTCCTCTGCCCAAGTGCTACGAAGTCGCCTTTTCGGGACAGATGAGACGCCCTAAGGGACAATTACTTCCTTTTTTCTTTCTTTTTTTTTTTTTAATCTTAATTTCATTTATCACTAACTGTTCAGAACTATTTCAGGTGGATCAAATAAGAACCAGTAATGAATGGCAGAAGGTGAATGGCGTGAGAACCAGTAATGCTTGTTATAACCTACTTTCATCGTCTCCAGGTGCTGGTGTCTATGAGCACATTCCCAGAGGAGACTCAAGTTCCTTGGCTTTTTGCAGAAACTCTGATCTTGTCCTCGGAAGGGAAACATTAAATGCATATTTTATTTTTTTTTTTTTCACATTTATGTATGTGCATCAACCAAAGCTGTCTGTGGAATTGAGGTTAAAACTAAAGTCCATAACTTTTAGTGAACATTTTTGTCATCTTTACAGAAGTTGGAGATTTTTTTTTAATTGCAAAATAAATAAAGAAATAGAGAAATAAAATCAGTAGTCAATTTCATTGCACAGTGTCAAAAAGTCAAATGGAGACTAAATCTAACTATGTCACTAAACATTGCGGGGGAAACTGTAAGATAAATGCTAAAACAGAAATTATTTTTTGAGTTTCTTACTCTTTCAGTGTCAGATTTTGTTCATTGCCTTCTTTTGTGTTCAGAAAAAGTATAAAAACAAATACAGATTTTGTTTTCTATATGCATATATATATACAAACCAAACGTTAAAATATTACAGGTTAGGAGCAGCACGGTTAGGAAATACAAATGTATTAAAGGTCGTAAATCTGAGACTATAAGAATTGGTTTGATTATTTGATTCAATTGCAGATTCTTTTCCTACCAAAATTACTAGCTTGGATGGTGCTGTTGCAGAGGGTTTTCTCAATTGTTCTGCATGGGTATTAACTCATTGGTAACTAGAAAATGTCACCGACCTCTTTTTTTTTTTTTTTTTTTTCTCTCACTACTTGATAGCAGTTTAGTAGCCTTCACAGTTTTAATCAGCGTTTACATGAGCTGGAGCAGTCTTTGTAACTTAGCCCACTCAGTCAATCTCATGAATTGTTCAGTTGGCCTTTCCAAAGTCCAAAGACTCTAGGGCTTGTTAAATTACTTGAAGCTTTAAATAAACTTACTTGCCTTAAAAAAGCAGATACTCAGAGCTCTGCATTTCCTTCTAGCAGCTAATGATTCAAATCATGTTTCCATTTTGTTACTCTTGTTATAAACATTGTGATCATTGAAGTTTTTGTGTAATTGCCTCATTTTGTTTATTCTGACAGCTGAATTGCTTTTTTCTGTAGCTTTGCAATTTTGGGTTACTAAGTGGTCTAAATATAGTGTTTTGATGTCTGTAGCATAGATTTGTTAGTAATTGCGTTTTAAAAGATGGCAATATCTGCATTTAAATTACTACTTAATTTGCTGTAGTATAATAAATAGAACTGCTGTATTTTAAAAGTACAGCATGTTCTCAGTAATTTTCAGTAATACGGTAGGCTATAGATTCAAATCTGACTTTCAAAATAAGCATACATTAGGCCTTTATTTCATTTGTAAAAGCATAGGTGGTTTTCAGAAGAGTATCCAGAGTGGAAGAAGCTTATATAACTAACTTCACTACAGTTTTACCTTCTGTTTTCTTTGGGGTCTGATTCAGACAACGCACTTAATACTTATTTTTATTTATAAAAGATTGTTGGAGATGATCTGATAGTTGAAAGAAAAATGTTTTTTTAGTGTCTCTCAGGTGCAAAGAGAAAGCATTTTCTTGTGATGTATTTCAAGTAGTCCTGATAACTTCTCATGTGATACCATTGACTTTTAATTTTGATTTTCAGTGAGAGGAATTGCATTGTATTTTTCTGTTGGAAAAGAGCTTTACTTTGTTATTTCTGTTTAGAAACAACTAGACAGCCACTATGTTTATAAAAATGGGGAGAAAGATCTTGTTTTGCTAAGCATGTTCTTGGTAGCTAAACGGAATGTCAGGATTAACCATCTTTGTGCTTCAGGCTGAAAGTAGCTTCAGTGAAGAGGAGGAAGAAAAACTTCAAATAGCTTTTTCGCTGGAAAAGCAAGATCTTCATCTAGTTCTTGAAACTATATCATTCATTTTGGAACAGGTACCTTGTTTTTATCTTTATGGATTGATAAATATATGGTTTTTTTATCTGATTGTAGATTTCAAAAATATAAAAGTCAAGTTAAAAAGGAATTAGTGAAAACATGTATCTGTAGTATATTGTGTATATTTTGGGAGCATGATTTTACTACTTTTGTTTTCATGTCTTCCTGATTTGGATTGGAATTGTTGTATTTGTGGAGTGAGTTTCCAGCTAATGTAAATATAGGTGGTGGAAGTGAGCTCTGCATGACTCCAAGAGAAATGCTGATAATTATGAGGTATAGTCTTTCCTCTTACTCACTGTAAGCAAGCCAGCCATGCATTTTTTTAATTCTTGTAAGGAAAATACTAGATGGCATTATCGAGCACTGCTTAAGTTACATGAAGTGTCAGTTACTGAACATTTTCATTCACAGAAGCAACCTGTACTTAGGTGAATAGGTGCACCTGATGTAGCTGTAGTATCTGAGTAAGTAGGTGACTGCATGGTGTAGAGCTGAATATCTTCTGAACAGGGAAAGTTTTCTGGTTCTACAGCGTACCACTATTCAGGGTGGGAAGCCAATGGATTCCCTGGTATATATGGTAACTTTCTAAAAAGTTGTCACAGCTGTGACGTTATCCATTTCATGCAAGTATAGTAAGGGTCATCTATGCAGAGGGTGTGCATACTGATGGTCTGTTATGGGATTTGAATCTTGTTCTTTCTTACACATGTCAATTTATGATTAGTTCACTTAGTTAACAAATTCCACAGCGTTAGAAAGAAAACAAGCAAAGAGTCCTCCCCATGGCTCCTATCCACCAAAAAATCAATGAAACCTGATGTTAGATCCAGACTGGAATTTTGAGTTTTCATCTCAGCCAAACAGCAAACTTACCTGTTTTATTGCCTGGTCCTAATTGCATCAGACTGCTTAATTTATATGATAATTACTGAAGGTGGACGGAAAAAGCAGTTCAGTTTCCTCTAGGACTTCTTTTGTATTTAAAGAAAAAGAAAGGGAGGATATTAATAATCTGCCCCAAAAAAGAGTCCCAGATGGAATATGTGTTGTATGAGGATTCTGTTGCCTGCTGACCGCTCTGCTTTTAAGTAGCTGCTTGTTCTGTCTGAGCATCACTTTTTTAACTGCCCTGTGGTCTATGGAGACATTATAAATAATAAGATGGCTGCATAGTCTTTACCACTTATGGTGTTTCTTTTTTTTTTTTTTTTCCCTGACCTGGTGCTGATGAGAGTCCAGTTTTGAAAGTGGAGACCAGCATACTATATAGAGTGTTTACCACAAAAATTGATGCTAGTAGGGAGGTAATATTTAACTTAGCTTTTTTGGTAAATTGTTCCTATCTCAGAATATTACCTTGTAGTTCAGGCTTGAACAGTGTAAATTTGGAAAAGTTGTCCTTTTTTCACAGTTACAATTAACTTCAAAGCCCAGGTTTTTTTCAGTGATAGCTGATATGTCATTATGTACAATGGAACATATACATATACTCAGATCTAGCTTGTATATGAGTTTTTTCATTGTTTTTCTAGCTTGAGAAAGTAATTTGTAATATTGCATTTTGACATAGTTACACTTTTCTGTCTTCTCAATCAGAGTGTTAAGATGAACAGGGTGCTTGCAGTCCCACAGTAGAGTTGCTAGTAAAAATCTTGTGTGAGCATGGTTGCCATCTGTCATGGAATGTATCTGGCACAACTTGTAGAACAGTACTCAACAACAGCAGTTACTTTTCCTTTTAACAGGCAGTCTATCATAATTTGAAGCCTGCTTCATTGCAACAGCAGCTGCAAAACATTCACCTGGATCAAGACAAAGCTGAAGCATTTGCCAGTGCATGGGCGGCTGCAGGTCAGGATACGATTGAAAAGTTCAGGCGGAGGGTTTTGACGCCTCAGAAGGTAATGTTTTTTTCTGAGGGACTAAAGCTGTATAGGTTTGGTTTAGAACAAGAAGTTTAAACTGAAATACAAAGTTTGTGACAAGCCAAGGTACTGGAGAATAAAAAGGGTACTTGCAAGGTAGTGGATAAATGTCATTGGGGCAGTGCAGTTCCGTTGTCTTAAAGAGATGTTACATGTTAGCTGAGCTGCTGTAACTGTTGGAACCTGGCTATATGCGCACTACTAGCAATGTAAAGTAATGCAACCTTCATACCATTTGGAGATGTTCGTGAACATGCTTTACAATAGGCAAGGGTAAAATGCGCTCATGAGTTGAACAAGATACTTTCGACTTCTGTTGTTTTGAGATAATATTTACCAATGTGAAGCATACAAGTCCCAAGATTTAAATGGTCAGTGATACAGTAAGTATATAGGCAAGTATGACTGTCCATTGAAGGAGGTGAGTAATCTGAAAACCAAGTGAAATCATGGAAGGTTATAAGGCTAACTTTTCAAAATACAGCATACATATATATGCAGAGTGGAAGGTAATTCTGAAGATACCCGACAAAGCAGCTGTCTGAGGATTTTCTTCAGAGAGACTATACAGTAATACATACTTTACTCCTGGTCTTCAGCCTATGAGAAACTAATAAAAACACCTTTGATCCTCTTTCATTTGCAGCTTGTACCATAGACACTGGTGGTCCTTCAGTGACCTGGTTTGGGGATGACATTGCTCTGTTTCTTGTCTGCAGTTTTGTGAGCCCTGCAACATATAATGTTGTATGTTACAGTTATATAATGGTGTATGTTACAGTTTTGGAGATTCTTTGTGACTTCAGCACCGTCTCATATAATAGAATGGCACTTTGTTACTATGTTACATCCTATATAAAGCATTTTAAACTGTCACTTATAATTAAACTTGCAGAAAAGCAACTGCAAAACTTGTTTTTTAGCATGAAAGCAGGTTTAAATACAGGTGTGTGCCTCTGTCTGCTTAAATCATTATTTTCACACCCCCTTTTTTTCTTTTCTTTTCCTAGCTCAGATAACAAGTTAAGTATCAGTTTGAGTGTGAGTGCAGATCTTAAGGTATAATTTGAGTTGTAACTTGAATTTATTTTCTATTTTGAAAGCCTGTAAAGTCTTAATCCTGTAGACTTTGAGTGAAAAACTCGAAGTTTGTGAGACCTTTTCCTTAACTCAAAGATAAAGTTTGCAAAACTAATTGCTAAATTAAGTCTTTATTCTGCTAACAAAGCACACACAGATATAATAGTTTAAAAATTGCATAGGATAATGGAAGAAGAACTCGTAATGTGTTATGGGTGCAGTAGATGACTGCATGATCCTTTTGTTGTTTCCTTCTATATTCTATAAGTAATTGCATGTCAGCACATATATGCTGTGTTGTCTTTCTGTACCTTGAGAAATAATGGGCAAATTATTCTCTTAGTTGTGGTACGTTGTAGGAGCCAACTTGCTGTAAACATTCATCAACATCTATTGAATTAAAGTTAAAAAAAATTTGAATCCTGAAAAATGATTAGATGAGAGTGGTAGCGATTTAGATTAGATTTACATTTTAGGTATTTAGATTGATTTAGAGACTATAGCAACTTCTTTATAAAAAGAGATGTGCATTGAATTATTAATACTGTCTGCAACAGGTATATACAGGTATGGCATGTAAAACAATTGATCCTATAAATGTGCCCTCTGTATAGGTACTTGTTTACATGGCTGTGTATGAGTTTCTGATTTGCATTGTTCACTTCTCACAGAAGCAATATTAGGTACAGAAAAAGAGTGTGTCATTTCTGTTGTCATAATTGCCAGCAACAGAATCACAGAATGGTTGAGGTTGGAAGGAACCTGTGGAGGTTTTGTCCAACATCTTGTCCAACCCCTCTGCTCATGTAGGGCTACCTAGAGCCAGTTGCTCAGGACCATATCCAGACAGCGCTTGAACATCTCTGAGGATGCAGACTCCACCACCTCCTGGGCACCCTGTACCAGTGCTCAGTCATACCAAAGGTGCGAAAGTGTTTTCCTGTGTTCAGGCACAGCCTCTTGTGTTTCACTTTGTGCCTGTTGTTTCTTGTCCTGTCACTGGGCACCACTGAAAAGAGCCTGGCTCAGTCTTCTCTACACCCTCCCTCCAGGTATTTATACACATTAATAAGCCTTTTCCAGGCTGGAAAGTCCCAGCTGTTTCAAGCTTTCCTTGTAGGAATGATGCTTAATCATCTTTGTGCCCTTTGCTGGAGTCTCTCCAGTATGTCTATGTCTCTCTTGTACTGGGAGACCAGCACTGGTTGTAGTAGTCGAGGTGTGTCCTCACCATTGTTGAGTAGAGGGGAAGGATCACCTCCCTCAGCCTGCTGGCAATACTCCTCGTAATGCAGCCCACGATACCGTTAATTTTCTTTGCTGCTGGAGCACGTTGCTGGCTCTTGTTCGACTTGGTGTCCACCAGGACCACCAGGTCCCTTTTTGCAAAGCTGCTTTCCAACTAAGTGACCCCCAGCTTGTACTGGTGCCAGGCCCATCAGCGACATCATTAATGAAAATGTTGAACAGGACTGGACCCAATATTTGCCACTGCTAGTTGCTGGCCTCCAACTAGACTTTGTCCCTCTGATCACAGCCCTCTGCGCCTGGCCATTCAGCCAGTTTTCAAGTCACCTCTCTGTCTGCATCATCAGCATACATTAACAGCTTGTCTATGGGGACCTTATGAGACACAGTATCAAAGACCTCCCTGGAGTCAGGATAGACCCTATCCACTGCTCTCACCTTGTCTACCAAGCCAGTCATTTCACTGTAGAAGTTTATTAAGTTAGTCAAGTGTGGCTTACTTCCCCATTGGGAATTTATGCTGACTATAGCAAGTCACCTTGTTTTTCACATGCCTGGAAATGGTTTCCAGGATTAGTTGTTCTGTCATCTTCCCAGGGACTGAAGTGAGGCTGACTGACCTGTAGTTCTCTGGGTCCTCCTCCTTGCCCTTCATGAAGATAGAAGTGACATTTGCTTTCCTTAGGAATCTTGAGGATTGGTGTTTGCGGGGGGCATTTTTGGGGGTTGGTTGGTTGGTGTTTTTCTTAAGACTGATTTATTCATGCTCTGTGTGAAGTTGGATTCATAATGATGCTTCTTCTGGTCAAGCATACCTTGTAGTTTTGTTAGTGATTCAGGTTCCAGGAATATAGAAATTACTGTACAGAATCAGAAAGTCTGTTCATTGTGTATCCAGTCTTTGGCACCTGGAGTGGAAGCACAGGGGTAGCATCCTCTAGTTAACCTGTTTGATGGAAACTTATGCCTTACCTTATGACTTAGAATCTGTCTTATACCCTCAAAGATGATTGTTTATCACTTGTGAAATATCCTACTTAATAAACCTGGAAGTTTCAGGCTGTATACTTGCCTGATTTCTGATTTTTCCACCATTGAGGGAAAAGTAATATGTGTTGATGTTTTTTAAAAGTGGTATATCTGTTATCTTTTGATTTTAATGTATATCTATTTTTTCGTTATACTAAAGGAGAGTATGATCTTTCTTGCTTTTATTTTAAGCTACATAGTCTGTGATTCCTCACTGTCATTCCATGGAAGTTTCCTGCTTGTCATCCTTCATGCTACCTGTCTCTGACGTATTTCTGCTGTATTTTGGAGGAAACTACTGTGAATAGAGTATGATACGGGCTTACCTGGAGTATTAATACTTTAGGTGATGGCTTTATAATAAAGGTCTCCCTCAGGAATCTGGACACTACATAATGTCTTCATCAATGCAATAATGGGATTGAGTGCACCCTCAAGCGAATTTGTGGATGACACCAAGTTGGGTGGTGCAGTTGGTAAGCTAGGAGGAAGGGATGCCATCCAGAGAGATCTTGATAGGCTTGAGGAGTGGGCCCATGTGAACTTCATGAGGTTCAACAAGGCCAAGTGCAAGATCCTGCACATGCGCTGGGGCAACCCCCAGTATGAACGTGGCCTGGGGAATGAAGGGGTTGTGAGCAACCCTGCTGAGAAGGACTTGAGGGTACTGGTCGGTGAAAAATAGGATGCGACCTGGCAGTGTGCACTTGCTTGCAGCCCAGAAAGCCAGTTGTGTCCTGGACTGTATAAAAAGAAGCGTGACAAGCAGGTCAGGAGAGGTAATTCTGCCCCTCTACTCGGCTTTCATGAGATCCTCCCTGCAGTACTGCATTCAGCCCTGGGGCCCTCAACACAAGAAGGACATGGGCCTGTTGGAGCAAGTCCAGAGGAGGCCATGAAGATGATCGGAGGGCTGGAGCACCTCTCCTGTGAAGACAGGGTGAGAGGGTTGGGGTTGTTCAGCCTGGAGAAGAGAAGGCTTTGGGGACACCTTATTGCAGCCTTTTGGTGCTTAAGGGGACTTATAAGATGAGGACAGACTTTTTACGAGGGTCTGTGGGGTTGTTCAGCCTGGAGAAGAGAAGGCTTTGGGGACACCTTATTGCAGCCTTTTGGTGCTTAAGGGGACTTATAAGATGAGGACAGACTTTTTACGAGGGTCTGTAGTGGCAGGACAAGGGGCAACAGTTTTAAACTGAAGGAGGGTAGACTTACGTTGGACATAAGGTAGAAATTTTTTACAATGACGGTGGTGAGGCACTGGAACAGATTGCCCACCGAATTTGTGGGTGCCCCACTATCCTAAGTACTCAAAGTTAGGTTGGAATGGGGCTTTGAACAATGCAATCTACTGAAAGATGTTTGTGCCCATGGCAGGGGATTGGACTAGATGATCTTCAAAGGTCCCTTCCAACCCAAACCATTCTATGATTCTATGGAATACAGATCTTTTTCTTTCATACTCTCTTAAAAATGATTAAAAGCTTTTTGGTTGTCACTGCATATTTGGTAGGGACTTTTACTGACCTATTCAGGTGATGTGCAGGAATACGTATTAATTTGTAGTATGTATGAAAAGTATGAATATTCCATAGTTTCGCTTCCTACGTGCTTTTCTG